CACACACACACACACACACACACACTCGCACACACACTCACGTACACACTCGCACACACTCACACACACGCTCTCACACACACACACACACATGCATGTTCTCTCAAGCTTTGCAAAGAAATATTATTAAAATTTATTTTATTAATATGACAATTTAGAGAACTTCAGCACAAAAGGGATTATACAGTGCTAAACACCAATTATTATTATACAAGACTGTATAAAGCAAACAGGACAGCTTTCGTAGTTTTTACATCTCTATATAATTCTCAGGTCCTGACCTCAGCGTAAATGGTTTAAATGCGTTTAACTTTGTACATGTACTCTTGTAATAACGAAATCTCTGCAGCTGAAGCACATCTGAATGTGTTGTGGGTAGGGCTGTCGGTTTAACGCGTTAACTTGATTAAATAAAAATAATGCGATTAAAATATTAAAAGCAGTTAACGCACTCACTGCTGGCAATGCTGCAGGGCCACAGTCCATCAATGCAGTTATGCCCTGAAACTCTAGATAATGGTGCGAAAATGCCTCTGTATGTGTTTGTGTCTCATATTTAGTCTACATCATGATATGATGAGCGAATCACACCAGTGCTGTTAGAGTGCAAATGTGATTTTATTAAACATTTCAGTAATTAAGAAGTTGATATTGTGTTATATTTTAAACACGATATTATGTGTTTTTGCTCAATTTAGCAGAGCACATAATAACATTTAAAGCCACAGGTCTCTGAGCAACACTGTGTTTAGTTTCTGATGAATCCGCGTTTAGAACGAATCGTGTGAACCAATGATTCAAAGATCCGTTCATAAAGAGAGTCGTTTACTTCATTCCTGAATGAATCAGTCGTTTGAATCAAATGAATGAATGACTCAAAGACATTTACCGCCACCTGCTGGCAGAGGTAGTTTCTTATTTAGAGTAGCATTTAATAAAATAATAATAATAATAATAAAACATTAAAGGGATAGTTCAACCAAAAAAAATTAAAAAACGACTGTTGGTAACAAAGCTGTGTTGGTTAGCAGTGACGTTCATCGTGTGAACAGAAAATACTGAGATGTTTCTCAAATTATCTTCTTTTATGTTCCATAGTTTATGTCAGGCTGTTGTAGCCCAAATGTTTATGTGTAATACATTTTATGTTGAATCAAATAAAATATTTCTAAAGCTACAATTTGTAACGTCTACTTGATACTTTCTCATTCAACACAAACATAGCTGTGTAAATAACCTTTTGTGGGTATTTTCACAGTCAAATTTATTTTGCGATTAATTAATCGAAACATCATGTAATTAACGAGATGACACACCTGAAGGCCTGAGCGCTGGCTCCGGTGATCGCTCGGAAAGCGGAAGCAGCTCTGCAGTGACTCGTGTTTCCAGTACGGCGGAAAGCGGCGCTCCACAGGAAATGCCACGTGTACCAAGTGCGCATGCGCGCTGTCCGTGCTCCGCTCGACTTCCGCTGAGAGGAAGGCGCTGTTTATCCCCGCGACGCTCGGCAGCGCGAGACAGAATGAGCGCAGCCGCGGGCCTGTGAGACGCTCGCTGACCGATCCGGCTTCACGATGTCCAGCGGCGGCTTCGCGTCACAGAACGGCGCCGGAGGCTCGTACGCGAACGGTGAGTAGCTCGCGTCTAAACGCGCCGCGCTCAGGCGGAGAGTTTCTCCGGAGTTTGATCGCTTCAGCGACGCGACGCGACCGGCCAGAGTTCTAGCGCGTCGCGTCGCTCGATGAAGGCCGGATCCTGAGGTCTTCGAGTAACGCGAAGCTCTAAAGGACTCGTCTAACGGGCTAACCCGAGTCAGTCAGTGGCGGAGTGACGCGGCTGTCCTGGCTCGGCTCGGCTCGGCTCTGTTCGGC